CCTTGTACTAATGAGTGTGGAGCAATGATTAGGAGAAGTAAACTGGAGACACATCTGACAGACAACTGTACTAAACGAATAGTTAACTGTCAGTATTGCAAGCGAAGAGGCACACACCAACTGATAACAAGCAGCAGTCATCTTAATGAGTGTCCTGACCTCCCAATCCAATGCAGTAATGAAGGTTGCAATGAGAAGATATTGAGATGTTCACTAGCATCACACAATGAGATCTGCCCTAAAGCTATCGTACCATGTGAATACAATACTGTTGGATGTAATAAGAAAATGAAGAGAGAAAAACGAGAGAAGCACAATGAAGAAGAGATAACAATGCATCTACAATTGGCAACAGAAACAATAAAATCTCTGCAAACAAGTTTAGAGCAGAAAAACTCATTAATAGCATCAAATGAAGTATTTAGGCTAAACCAATTTGCTAAGAGAAAAAACGAAAATGAGGATTGGTACAGCCCAGGCTTTTACACATCACCAGGTGGATATAAGATGTCACTGCATGTCTATCCTAATGGTAATGGTATTGGTAAAGGTACACACGTCTCTTCCTTCATATATTTCATGGCAGGAGAATATGATGATACATTGGAGTGGCCATTTCAAGGAGTAGTAACTGTAGAACTACTGAATCAACTGGAGGATAAGAATCATAAGAAATCTACCTTATCATACAATGAATTAGCACCAGCTGAACCTAAGCAAAGAGTGAAGGAAGGTACAAAAACACATGGATGGGGTTATCCAGAGTTCATATCACATGGAGAGTTAGAGTATAATCCAGCTACTAATTGTCAGTATCTTAAAGATAATAGTTTGTACTTCAGAGTCAGTGTAAAGGCTACATCAAAGACAAAGCCATGGCTAATGGGAGCATCAAGGATTGTATAAACATGAAATAAGGGACAATTAAAAAACTTAGCAAGTTGTGCAAATGTCTTGTAAAATTTATCACATTATTATTAAAAAGTACTTTTGCTGAAATTTGTAACTTTAAGTGTTGCAATGCTGCTAGTTAAATACTTAAACTACATTAGAAGTTGAATATTTCACTGCCTTTATTATTTAAATTTTTAATTGTTATGCATACAGTTTACTTACACGTGTGCAACTATAAATTATTATAGCTAATAATTAACTGGTTTTTAATTTTACTTTTTCTTATTTTGCTAAATTAAAGTCACCTTAAAATATTCCATGTATATGCATTGCATTGTAGCAGAACACTTAAAATTAATAAAACTTAATTCAAGTGCCTAACTCAAACAAAAGCCATAATAATACTGTATAGTGGGAAATTTTGGAGGGAATCAAATTTGGCATTTTGATAGCCATTCACCAAAATAAAATCTGCCATTTTGAGCCATTATGCACATGCTCGATGGCATGTGGCCACTAATTTGCCAAATTAAAATTTTCCAATCACCAAAATTTTAGCAATTTGCCAAATTTAACTCCCTCCAAAATTTCCTGCTATATGGTATTATTCAATACTAACTTTATTTTAGGA